ATACATATATATACATATATATGTGTGTGTGTGTGTGTAAATATACATATATACATGTGTGTATGTATGTATAATATATATAGATAGATAGATAGATAGATAGATAGATAGATAGATAGATAGATAGATATAGATATATGTACACACACACACACACACACACACACACACACACACACGCACACACACACATATATATATATATATATATATATATATATATATATATATATATATATGTGTGTGTGTGTGTGTTGTTGTGTGTGTGGTGTGTGTGCATATATATAGATAGATATACACACACACATATATATGTCTATGTACATATATATGTATATATGTACATGTATATGTGTGTGTATATATATATATATACATACATATATATATATATATATATATATATATATATATATATATATATGCATTTGTGTTTGCACACACATATGCGAGCGCACACAAACACACACACACACACACACACACATATATATATATATATATATATATATATATATATATATATATATATAATATATATTAATATATACATATATACATATATATGTGTGTGTGTGTCTGTGTGTATGTATGGATGTATGTGTTTATATTATGTATGTATGTGTGCGAGTTAATTCCGATATCTGTCAATGACCGAGTCTGTTAACATCAAGGAAAGAATTCAAATAACTGAAATAACACGTTTATCTGGATCCAATAAATGTTTGATTTTAGTTTTTTCTCCTTTTTTTCTTTTTTTCTCTCTTTCGTAACAATGTAATGATTTTTTCTACGTTTTTAGTCGTTTTTGTTAAAGAATAACTGCATAATCTTGTATTTACTGTTGTCTTTTTTCTTACTTTATGTATATACTCTAAATTAATGGTTGTATATATATTTTTCCTTTTTCTTCTTACTATGATTATCCAATGTGTTGTATTTCACTGACTCTATTTTCATGTATCTATAGGAATGCAGTTATCATTTTAACATATATTTTTTCTTGTACAAATGGAAAGGTTATTTAATAAAGTCATTTTTTTATAAACAAACATTTATTTTCTTCAGCTTAGACGATCGTATACAAAGACTTAATCAGACAGCAATATGTATTTGGAGAATTAATAAACCAATCGATCTCATAAAAAGATCTAATCATTTCATATCGAAAAGGTAATCAAAATGATCATAATTATGCATTTATGATAATCAGTTCAGGGCATCAGAAAATAGGTATTCCATTTTTTTTCTACTATGACGCTCGCTCTTACTAAACACTTAATTATCCTTTATTTAATCAAATGTAAATCTTCAAGACACTTTTTGACATTATTTTCCTGACCGAAATACGCATGAAAATGAGTAATTTCGAAGTTATTAAGATTATCTTTTTGAATAACACATTCTTATTTCTTTTTCTCGTTTTGTGTCACCTGTAAGGGTTGCAGTAAAAGGGTCATTGGTATTAATTGTAATCATAAAAAAAACTAATGATATCTAAAATAAAGATAATTTTCTTAATTGTAGTAATGACGATAATGATTATGATATAATAGTAACAATGATAAAGATGATAATGATAATAATGATAGTAATGATAATGATGATGATAATGATAATAATCATAATAGATAGCAATGGTAAAAATAGCACTGCTATTTATGAAAACCTGATAACGATAATCACTAAAATAATGATAACTTTTGATAATTATAATCATAATTATAACAGGAACAGTAATGATTATGATGTGATGATAAAAATGAAAATACTGATAATGATAATAATAATAACAGTAGTAGTGTGCCTATTAGTAGCAATAATAATGAAAAATAATGAATATCGATAATAATTAAAACAATAAATCGACAATAATGATCATATCAATGGAAATCATAGTGATGATAATGATATTGATACTGATAATAATAATGATAATAATAATAATAGCAATAGCAATTATCAATATTATTTCAACAGTAGGTGTTGCAGTTGTAAAGGATATTTTGGTATAAAAATTGTGATGGTTAAAGGAATGTTTCCGAAATAACTTTGAAAATCACAGTGCAAAAATTAATTCCAGGGGAAGATAAAACCCATTTTTCTTATTTTTTTTTTTACTCGTATCCGTTAAATCACCTTATGTTTGCTTTGTAATAATATTTCTCCCTCAATGAATATAGCAAGACTTAACAATGTAAATAGGAAAAAATATATCCAACTGAGGTATGGAATTTTCAAGGTAAACTAAAAAGAAAAAGAAAATAAAAAAGAGATAAATGCTTTTGCTTATACATAGTGGTCTTAGCTCGTCAAAATAGCCAGGATAACTTTCCACTACAGTTTAAAGACAGAATGATTGGTCAGTTCGTCAAGAGGTAGTTTTGAGTAGTTCGTCCATTACGTAGAAGATAAAGATAGTAAAAAGAAGGAAAAAATTAAGCATAACAGAAACGTGTAAGAAACGAAAACGTTACACAGAGAAAATCGGAAAAAATACAGACAGAAAAACGGAAAGAAAAATAAAGTGGTATAAAAATCCTTACGAACGGTTGCCAAGTTAGGAATATACATCTCGTGGCAATCACGACACAGTCTGGGTATATATTATAAGAAATACAATTTACAAAAATAGGATTGTAGGGATAGTGGGAACTCGGGAGGTGATAAGGGTTTTTGATATGCTTGAAGATAAAGAACCAGTATATAGTATGGCCCTCTTAGAGATGTATTGAGGTATTTTATTTCCAGGTTACAAAATTGTATCCCTTCCTGAAGATTAGCGTTGGAGTCTATACACATACATAAGTACATACACTACCCACACATATTTATAATGTATATACGTATATATGTGTAGATTACATGTGTGTGTGTGTGTGTGTGTGTGTGTGTGTGTGTGTGTGTGTGTGTGTGTGTGTGTGTTGTGTGTGTGTGTGTTGTGTGTGTGTGTGTGTGTGTTGTGTGTGTTGTGTGTGTGTTGTGTGTTGTGTGTGTGTGTGTGTGTGTGTGTGTGTGTGTGTGTGTGTGTGTGTGTGTGTGGTGTGTGTGTGTGTGTGTGTGTGTGTGTGTGTGTGTTGTGTGTTGTGTGTGTGTGTGTGTGTGTGTGTGAATTTTATGCCTGATAATGCATGACGAAAAGTTGTATGTATGTATATATATATATTATATATATATATATATATATATATAATATATATATATATATATATATATATATGTATATATAATATATATATTATATATATATATATATATATATATATATATATATATATATATATATATATAGAGAGAGAGAGAGAGAGAGAGAGAGAGAGAGAGAGAGAGAGAGAGAGAGAGAAAGAGAAAGAAAAGAGAAGAGAAAGAGAGAGAGAGAGAACAATGGACATTTATAGATACAGATATATTACAATTCACAGGATACAACAAATATTTCTCACATACATCTTAGAACACACGTAAATGATATCAGAATTACCCAATTACCTGAATCACTTAGAAAATAAAAATTACGGATAGAAAAAAAAATGAAAATGAAATAATATTCTCCACTGTGAGTTCTTTATATAAAAAAAAATATATATCTTGCAGGATGTTTTTGTCTTTCGTCTCTATCAGTATTGATATCTAATTACAATAAGATAATAATAATTTGCAAGAGTGATTGATAATCTATTTCATCTCCTTAATGGCGGGTTTTAGTCTTTGGAAAACCTGCAAACACACAAAGGTAAACAGGGCACTTTTTAGTACATTTTATTACGCCCTTTTGCGCTCCTGTCCCAAGGCGAAGGAACTGCTCAGATAATGCTATTCCACAAAAGTGAGTTTATGTGGGCGCTCGTTTGCATGTTCGTCATTCAGACACACAAGGTTTTGTTTTCTTTGAAATCTTTGATAGTCTTTCTTCGAAGTCTGTGATTATGTACATTTGTAGTATTTTTCATGACTGAGAATATAATCTAAATAAAAATCTGCTGCCAACTAACAACACAGTCGTAAACAACGAGTACATATATATATATATATATATATATATATATATATATATATATATATATATATATATATAATACATTATCATGAGGAGTTACGACCGTGTTGTTTCCCTGATTAGCACAGTCTTCACCAACAAGACAGATATGCTTAGCGGTTTAAGCTTAAGTCATGCATACAATATTAGCTTTATGTTAAGTATCTACACATTTAAGTGTTTATAAAATATCCATTATCCATTACAAAATTAATTTGTTGATATAAAAAGCTATAGAAAAATAATAATGCATATGACTAGAGAGTTTGCTACGAACACTACAGAGGGTAGTTACCACAAAAGACGGAATCAAAACAAAACTCATTTTCATTCATTCGTCTTGCTATATAATTCTCTTTTAAAAATCAAAAAAGAGATCCTTGATGTCTCGTGTTTCTCCGTTACAACACGTAGGTAAGCTTACACGGTCTCTTTATCACAATCAATGAAGTAAATCAGCGTGTTGGACACAGCACCAGAACCTTAAATTATACTGTATATGAAACACCAACAGAGACAAAAGATCCCGAAGATGCAGCTCCATACGAGACGCACATCATCGTGATCAGTGCCGGAGTCTCGTGGGCACACGTGAAGCTCGTTGTAATAGAGCTTCACGACGTGTTTCTTGATAGAATAAGATCGGCGGCTATCTCCTCCTCTCCGAAATTGGTGTCTTTTTCTTATCGAGTCACGCCATATACGAGACTACACTGAGGAAAAGGTCGAACGCAATCGAACGCGTTTAGCTTCGAGTCCTCAGGAGTCAACCCTTTGATTCGAACTGCTTCGGAAAGTCAGCTGGGCTCGGAGTCGCTTGCTGCTGCTGCTGCTGCGGAGCTCCGAGCTTCCCCCGACCACAGTCAGCGACGCGGAGGTGCTCTTGAGACGCAGCTGCTGTCAGCAACGGCGTCTCGCAGCTGACGGGTTGGAGGCTGGCCTGGAGATGCGTCGGAGGCTGAGGGGCAGCTGGGGCTTCGTCGGCGCTCGGGTCGCCGCAGGTGAGGGTCTGGGTGCTCTGGGTGCGGTACTGCGGCTGCGGCTCCTGGTGGGTGTGGCAGCTCCAGGACTTGCTGCGGAAGACGCCCGTGTCCTCACAGTCTGCAGGGAAAAGCGAAGGGAGGATGAGAAAATGCGAAGGAAAGAATTTAAAAATAGAGCTCTCTTTGTAGTCGTCCAAGTACGTGATGTTTTCTATGTGATTTCATTCCTAATGGATATTAACGCCTTTAAATAGAATGTCCATCTCTATATATGCACGAATATTTTCATTTGCCTCTCCATGTGTGTGTGGGTGTGTATGCGTGTGTATGTATGTACGTGTCCGTATCCGTGTGTATGTATGTACGTGTCCGTATCCGTGTGTGTGTATGTTCGTGTCCGTATCCGTGTGTATGTACGTGTCCGTATCCCGTACGTGTCCGTATCCGTGTGTATGTATGTACGTGTCCGTATCCGTGTGTGTGTATGTACGTGTCCGTATCCGTGTGTGTGTATGTACGTGTCCGTATCCGTGTGTGTGTATGTACGTGTCCGTATCGTGTGTGTGTATGACGTGTCCGTATCCGTGTGTGTGTATGTACGTGTCCGTATCCGTGTGTGTGTATCCGTGTCCGTGTCCGTATCCGTGTGTGTATGCATGTTCTGTGTAAATGTCTTGCTCATGTAAATAATCCCAAAAATATTTCTAATCAC